TCTCCCCTCCACCTCTACCCTCCTCCCCCTTCCTCCTCCTCCTTCTTCTTCCTCGTCATCTTCCTCCCCCTCCTCGTCATGCTTCCTCACCATCGTCTTCATCCACCCTGATCTGTTTCCACAGGGCTCCCGAGGTCCCTGCAGCCTCCTGCTCCTCTGGAGGCCTCTGAAGGCTTCCAGAAGCCCCTCTATGCCCATACAACACTCACCATCACAATCGCCGACAGCGTCATTGTCATCACCATCACCATCGCAACTGGTCCACCATCAAACATTCACCCTCACCATGACAATCACCTCCATCACCCAAATTACCACCACCGCCGCCATCCACATCACCACCACCACGGCGATCAGTACCATCACGACCACCATCGCCACAGCCATCACGACCACCATCACCACAACAATCATCCCCACCGACATCACCACCATAAACCACCGTTCTTACCATCGACATCACCATCACCATCATCACCTCCAATACTATTACCACCCGCATCACCATCACCAACACCAATCACCACCACCACTACGACTACCATCATCATTATCAGCATCAGCATCATCATCAACAACACCATCAGCATCGCCATCACCATCACCATCACCATCATCATCATCAACATCATCATCACCATAACCATACTCACAACCGGCATCACCACCGCTATCATCATAATCACAGTCATCCCCAACACCATGGCGGATATGCCACGATGTGCTCACCATCTCCACAACCATCACAAGCAGCACCAAAACCACCGCCACTATCATCAAAATCACCACCATAACCACCGCCACCCTAACCACTTACCATCACAACCATGACCATCACCACCACCCGCACAACGAACACCACCACAACCTCCATCACATTGACAACCGTCATCAACATCTACCTTATCGGGATCACCACCATCACCACCATCGCAATCAGCACCATAATCACCGCCAAAATCACCACCAGCACCACCATCACCGTCACCACCACGAGAACCTGAACAACCACCACCATCGCAACCACAACCATCACCACCACGACAACCGTCACAACCACAACCACTATCACAATCGCCACCACCATCGTCACCGTCATCACCAGCACCTTCTTGTACCGCAGCCACCAGCATCATCAGCATCATCATCACCACCATCATCATCATCATCATCACCACCATCATCATCATCAGCAGCATCAGCATCAGCATCATCACCAGCATCAGCATCAGCATCAGCATCAGCATCAGCATCAGCATCAGCATCAGCATCATCATCATCATCATCATCATCATCATCAGCATCAGCATCACCATCAACTCCAGGTGGTGGTTTACAGCTGCACTGCGGACTACACCAAGGGAGCTGCCTCGGAACCTCTGCCGCTCCGCATGCCGCCGGGGAAGCGTGGAGGAGAAGCCCGCGGGGGGGACCAGAGACAGGTCGGGTGCTGCCACGGGCGGCCCTGGCCCATGGTGGCCCCAGGGAGGCCCCAGGGAGGCCCAGAGGGCCCCGCGTGCCCCAAGTTGGCGCGAACAAAAAGACCGCGGGCACCCCGGGCCGGGACCACCTGCAGCAGCATCCGACGGTGCGCCCAGCACTGCCATGCGGCAGACGCCAGGACACGGCGGACTCTTCGGACGGCCTGCCAGCCAGACCTCTCGGGGCCATCCTGGGCTCTCCCGAGCCCGACTTGGACACGTCGGATGATAAGGAGCGGCCCTCCTGGGGCTTTCGCGGAGGCCCATGGACCCCTGCGACTCTAAGACGGCAGCGAATCGAACTCGACAGACCTACTCACACGAATGATCCCAGCGGGCGTGTCATGCAAGCCTCGCCTCTCATCTTCTCACATCTTTCCTTCCCTCACCTCCCCACATCTCTCGCTCTCTTCTCTCGTCGACTCCGACCGTTCCCTGGACCCGTGTCTTAGAAACTTTTTTTCACCGCACTCCGTCACACGTCAATTTCAACTGCGCCGCCCAAACTGCAATGCACCGCGCGTGCGCAAAACACATGGCCTCGAGGCTCTTGCTGGGAGGCGGCGACAAGACGACGCCGCAAGTGTGGGGAGAAGCGTGATGGCCTGTTCCGAACCTCTAAAGAAAATAGACGCTCTGGTGAGCGTGAAAAACAAGTGCCTTGCCCATCTGCGCCTCATCTGGAGGGGAAGAAAACGGGGACCATGACCCGAACTGCTCGCGGAAACGTCGTGCCGATCTTGGTCACCGTCCACTTTGGTCGCCGTCGATTCGTGGACCATCCTCGCGGCGACGGCCAGCACAAACCATGACCAAGATCGGCGACGGCCAGCACAGACCATGACCAAGATCGGCGTCGACAAAATCCTGCGACACGTTGGTCACGATCAGCGGTTCTTCCTTCGATCATTCGTGAAGCAGCGCGCGCCCCCGCACCGCGGTGGACACCCCGGAGGGCGACAGCCACCGCTGGCGACGCACCCGCGCGCCTCGGGCCGGCGGCCCTCCTCGGTCCCGGACTAGGCGTTGTTGAGGAAGTAGGCGCACCCGCCGAGGACCACGGCCAGGGACGCGAGGGTGGTGAAGAAGGGCGGGAGCTTGAAGGGCTTCTCCTTCGGCTTCGGCGGCGGCGGCGTCTCGCCGAAGAACCGCATGGCGGTGCGGGGCCCCTGGTGGGCGTCGGCCGCCGCCTGCCCCGCGACCGGGCCGCCCGCCCGCGCGCCCTGCGCGCGCAGGGCCGGCGGGGCGAGGAAGGGCCTCCCGCCGGGGCGCGAGCTCCACGGTGCGCTCCGCTTTCGTTTTGTGCTCGTGCTCGTGAGGGGATCCGCCCCGACCAGATCTTAGGGGAACGAACAATGGCATAAACATAACAGCTCGGAAGTCCGCGTGGGTCCAGCGCGGATCCGAGAAATCCGCGCTGACCTCCGAGTTGTTCTGTTTTTGGTGTCATTGTTCGCTCCCCTAAGATCTCCCCAGTGCGGCGACAACAAATGCGCAAAGACGATCTGTCGCCGCACGAACCACTCAAGAAACCCATCGAGTGAAATGTGCGACGTGCGATGGGCGCGCCATGCGTGACGCGCTGCATTCTTGGTGCAGCGGCGACGGGGGGAGGGTGCCAGACAGATGGACGTTCTCCGTCGCTCCGCCCCTGTGCTGCAGAACGAGAAAAAATGTCGGAGCGAGAGCGGCCCACGATTCGGTGGCAGCTCATGAGAGCCTCCCATACCAGCTTGTCGGATCCTGCGAATCGACGCTCATCGACGCTAAATCGACGCTGAATCGGCGCTGCCTCGTCGACCCCCAGACGCTGATCGACGCTGGCCGGCGCTAATGCCGACGGAATTCGGACGGCACACCAGGCTCCCACGACTTGCCGCCGACCGCCCCTGTGCAGAGCGAACCGAAACGTCGGAGCGAAGGCGGCCCGCGGGATCGCCGGGGGCACCGTGCCGCTCGCGCCCCGGGGGCCTCCCGCAGGAGAGCAGCGCGCCCGCCAGCGCGGCGAGGGCGCACACCGCGAGCAGGGGCGAGCCGCGGCTGCCTGCGCGCGCCATCGGGGCCCTCGCGCCCAGCAGATGCCGCGGGGGGCGGGCGCAGAGCGGGCAGGCCGCAGAGCAGCGGTCGCTTTGACCGAAATGCTTGAACCCTGAGCCCAACTTGGTCTGGAGGAGGAGGGAGGGGGAGGAGGAGGAGGAGGAGGAGGAGGAGGAGGAGGAGGAGGAGGAGGAGGAGGAGGAGGAGGAGGAGGAGGAGGAGGAGGAGGAGGGGGAAGAGGACTGAGAGAGACGGAGAGGAGGAGGAGGAGGAGGGGGAGGAGGGAGGAGGAGGAGGAGGAGGAGGAAGGGGATCAGCCATGGGTGCCTTTGGGAGCAGGGCGGCCCGATCCAGGAGCTCGGATCAGCCACGCCTGGCGGCCCACAAGGGGGTGCCTGATTGGACCCCCCCCATGGAAGCTGTGTGCAGCCTCTTGGGGCCAGCTGAGCAACGCCTCGTGGGGCCCTCTTGAACCCCATCCCTCCCTCTCCTGCGATGTACCGCTTGAACAAACTTCGATAAACCCTCTACGGCTAAACTGCAGCGTTCCTTCAACATCAAATCAGGGATGATGATGCTGATGATGATGATGATGATGCTGATGATGATGATGATGATGATGATGCTGATGCTGATGAGGATGATGAGGATGAGGATGAGGATGAGGATGAGGATGAGGATGAGGATGATGATGATGATGATGATGATAATAATGATGCTGCTGCTGCTGATGCTGCTGCTGCTGATGATGATCATGATGATGTGAATGTCATGATGCTGGTGATGCTGCTGCTGCTGCTGCTGATGATGATGCTGATGCTGATGATGATGATGATGATGATGATGATGATGATGATGATGATGATGATGATGATGCTGCTGCTGCTGCTGATGATGATGCTGAGGGAAGAGGAGGAGGAGGAGGAGGAGGAGGAAGAGGAAGAGGAGTAGAGGAAAGGGAGGAGGAGAGGGAGGAGTATAGGAGAGGAGGGGGGGCGGAGTAGGGGAGTAGGAGGAAAGGAGGATGAGGTAAGACGGAGGAGGAGGATGAGAAGGAGGGGGAAGGAGTTATAGAAGTAGTAAGTAGTAGTAGTAGTAGTAAGGTAAGTAGTAGTAGTAGTAGTAGTAGTAGTAGTAGTAGATAGTAAAAGCTAGTAAGTAGTAGTAGTATAGTTAGTTAGCAGTAAGTATAGAAGAGTAGTAGTAGTAGTAATGAGGAGGAGGAGAGGGAGGAAAGGAGGAGGAGGAGGAGGAGGAGGAGGAGGAGAGGGGAGGGAGGAGGAGGAGGAGGGAGGAGGAGAGGAGAGAGGAGGATGAGGGCGGATATATGATGATGATGATAGATGATGATGAAAATGATGATGATGATGATGATGAGGAGGAGGAGGTGGAGGGAGAGGGAGGAGGAGGAAGAAGGAGGAGGGGGATCAGCCATGGGTGCATTTGGGAGCAGGGCGGCCCGATCCAGGAGCTCGAATCAGCCTCGCCTGGAGACCCACAAGGGGGGGCCCTGCTGGGACCCCCCCAATGGAAGCTGTGTGCAGCCTCTTGGGGTCAGCTGAGCAACGCCTCGTGGGGCCCTCTTGAACCCCACCCCTCCCTCTCCTGCGATGCACCGCTCGAACAAACTTCGATAAACCCTCTACGGCTAAACTGCAGCGTTCCTTCAACATCAAATCAGGGATGATGCTGCTGATGATGATGATGATGCTGATGATGATGATGATGATGCTGATGATGCTGCTGCTGATGAGGATGATGAGGATGAGGAGGAGGATGATGATGATGATGATGATGATGACGATGATAATGATGATGCTGATGCTGATGATGATGATGATGCTGTTGATGCTGTTGATGCTGCTGCTGATGCTGATGATGACGCTGATGATGATGATGATGCTGATGATGATGATGCTGCTGATGCTGCTGATGATGATGATGATGGTGAGGATGATGATGATGATGATGATGATGATGATGATGCTGATGATGCTGATGATGCTGCTGATGATGATGATGAGGATGAGGATGAGGATGAGGATGATGCTGATGATGCTGCTGCTGATGATGATGAGGATGATGAGGATGAGGATGATGCTGATGATGCTGATGCTGATGATGATGATGATGATGATGATGATGATGATGATGATGCTGTTGATGCTGCTGCTGATGCTGATGATGACGCTGCTGATGATGATGATGATGATGATGATGATGATGATGATGATGATGATGATGATGATGATGATGATGATGATGATGATGATGATGATGTGAATGTGATGATGATGCTGCTGATGATGATGATGCTGATGCTGATGCTGGTGCTGATGAGGGGGGATGAGGAGGATGAGGAGGCGGATGAGGAGGAGGAGGAGGAGGAGGAGGAGGATGAGGCAGGAGGAGGAGGAGGAGGAAGAGGAGGAGGGGGAGGAGGAGGAGGAGGAGGATGAGAGGATGAGGATGAGGAGGAGGAGGAGGAGGAGGAGAGGGAGGGGGAGGAGGAGGAGGAGGAGGAGGAGGAGGAGGAGGAGGAGGAGGAGGAGGAGGGCGGATCAGCCATGGGTGCCTTTGGGAGCAGGGCGGCCCGATCCAGGAGCTCGGATCAGCCACGCCTGGAGGCCCACAAGGGGGGCCCTGCTGGGACCCCCCCCCCCCATGGAAGCTGTGTGCAACCTCTTGGGGCCAGCTGAGCAGCGCCTCGTGGGGCCCTCTTGAACCCCACCCCTCCCTCTCCTGCGATGTACCGCTCGAACAAACTTCGATAAACCCTCTACGTACGGCCAAACTGCAGCGTTCCTTCAACACCACATCAGGGATGATGGAGCTGATGATGATGCTGATGATGATGATGATGATGCTGATGATGCTGATGATGGTGATGCTGGTGATGCTGGTGATGCTGGTGATGATGCTGATGATGCTGATGCTGGTGATGCTGGTGATGATGCTGATGATGCTGATGCTACTGCTGATGCTGATGCTGCGGATGATGATGATGCTGATTATGATGCTGATGCTGATGATGATGATGCTGCTGCTGATGATGATGATGATGATGATGGTGATGGTGATGATGGTGATGATGGTGATGATGATGATGATGATGATGATGATGATGATGATGATGATGATGATGATGATGATGATGATTGATGATGCCTGATGAGGGAGGAGGAGGAGTAGGAGGAAGAGGAGAGGGAGGAGAGGAAGAGGAGAGGAGGAAGAGAGAGCGGCGCGGCGGAGAGGAGGAGGAGAGGGAGGAAAGGGAGGAGGGAGGAGGAGAGGGAGGAGGGAGGAGGGAAGGGAGAGAGGGAGGGAGGGAGGGAGGGAGGGAGGGAGGGAGGTCCCAGCAGCGCGGCAGAGAGCAGCAGGACCCGGAGCAGCACGACAGAGCAGCAGCCCTTGGACGTTGACATCCGCGAGTGGTCCCAGCAGCACGGCAGAGAGCAGCACGACCCGGAGCAGCACGCCAGAGAGCAGCAGCCTTTGGACGTTGACATCCGCGAGTGGTCCCAGCAGCAAGGCAGAGAGCAGCACGACCTGGAGCAGCACGACAGAGAGTAGCAGCCCGTGGACGTGGCCATCCGCGAGTGGTCCCAGCAGCATGTCCTGGGCGACGGGGAGCACCACGCCCTGCAGGGCCACGCCCACGTCGAGCAGCATGACGCTGAGCAGCACGACGGTAGCTCGCGCGAGGCGCCTCCCCGACGGCCCACCCGGAGGGAGAACATCCTCCGGGGAGTTGTTCTTCCTGCACCACCTCCGCACCTGCGCCCTGAGCGCTACAGGCCGGGGAGGGGGGTCTGGAGCAACGTCTATGGGACATGCCGCGCCTGTGGGTCTCCAGGCGCCAGCCTGGACAGACGCACGCCTGACTCATATCTTCCATGTCGTGGAAACGGTGTGCCTGCTGAGCTTGTCGGCGCTATCGGCGATCGCCCACCCAGCAGTGTGGAGTCGGGTCGGAGGAGCTGCGGCCTTGATGAGTGGGGGCCTTGGTGGATGGGGATCGTGCGGCCTCGCCTCCGGGCTCCCAGTTCCAGCTATGGCGTTGCGAGCTGTCGTGGCCCACCGCAACAAAATGGAAAATATAAACAAAATCAAAAACAGAAAAACAAAAAAGAACAAAACCGAAAACGCAACAAACAAAATTAAACAAAAAACAAAACAAAAAAAAAAATACCGTACAAATATAAAAACAAAAAATAAAAAGTCAATCAAAACAGACAAAAAACAATAAAGCAAGCAAGAACAAAAAAAAAAACAAAAAAACAAAAAAAAAAAACAAAAAGATAAATTAATAAAAACAAGAAAAAAAATACAGCGCGTGGCGAACTGTCGTCGGAGTTGGAGGTGTTCTCGCGTGGTCGGCTGGGGTCCACTGGCCAGTGTGGGAGTGCCGGCTGTGGAGCTTCTTCGTGGTCTGCGCCGGTGCCTCCGGGGGAGGGGCAGACTTGGGGGATACTTGGAGCGGCCGCTTTGGTCTGGCCCGCTTTCCCTGTCGAGGCGCCGCCGGCGCCGCACCCAGCAGCACGCCTGACGCAACGCGACCTGCACGTCACCACGTGGGCCGTCGACGTCATGACGAGCCGCCGGAATTGCCATTGCCACGCTGACGCGTGCAAAGGCCCCATTCGACGGGGAGACCTTCGCGCCTTCAGCCACACCCTCGCGCACAAACTCTACTACCACCCGGAGCGCGTGGAGGGCGGACTCGGCCCCTACGACAACGTGGTCGGCACGGAGAGCCTCGTGCAGGCGGCGCAAGACAAGGTGCGAGCCTTCTGCGATCGGCCGGGGAGGACCACCCGCGCGCAGTACGTTGGCGACGTGCAGCGGGCAAAGAGGATCCGGCACGCAGGCGCGACCCCGGACGGCCACCAGCCGGGCGACGGGGACCCGGATGAGCTGCCCGAGAGCTACGATCCCGCCGGCGGGGCACGCCCTGAGCCAGCGCCAGACCTGCCCAACCTGCCTTGGTGGGATTCAGTCTCTTACGACAGCCTGGGGGACGACGTGCCCACAGTGGTCAGAGTGCCAGACGAGGTCTGCCACGCCTTGGCGCTGTTACGGGGGCGGGTCGCCCAGACGCTGCTGACGGCGCAGTCCGCCG